ATTAGCTCATTTGCTATCGCTGGCCAAGATGCCATTTGAGGTTTGTGCAGGGCAGCACTTACTCATGCAGATAGTGCATAATGACAAGAAAAAAGATTTTCTACTCACAACTTGTTCTTTTTTTTAAATCAAATAATGATGAAAGTTTGAAACAACTTCAGACAAGACTTATATAAAAATGTGAATTTTTAAATTGAAAACTTTACCATTAGAATTCAGTGTTGTAGGTCTTGAGACCTGGTCTCGGTCTCAAGAAGGTCTGGAGACCTTTTTTCTGGTCTCGGTCTTGGTCTGGTCCTACATGTATCAAAGTATCAGTCTCTGGAAGGTTGGTCTCGGTCTTAAAGTGCTGGTCACGGTTTGGTCTCGGACTCGTATGTCAAAGTGTCTGGTCTCCCCCTTGAGACTTGTCGAGACCACAATAAAATGTGCATCTACGTACATGTGGGTACCGCTCATGAATGCACTCGCCAACTGACTTCAGCATCAGTCTTCCAAACATGGATGTAAACATGACACCATGTTAAAATTTTCATGATAAAGAATGAAATTGATGCTTGAATGGAGACTAGTCAATGCGGAATGCAGTATTTCCAGCATACGTGTAAGAAACAGCCTTTGGAAGTATTGCAAGTGGCCGCATGCGTTCATTTATGCTATTACGTTATGCTGTTACGTTATGTCCTGCCTTTTGCGACATCATCAGCTTCAGAAAACTTCAAATTAGAGAAACATTAGGGCAATGCCATGTCATGTGAACTGGCACTTACATGACTTAATGGATTGGTTATAAGAAGTAAGGGAACTAACGGGGAACAGAAAAGTGGTAGGAAACACTGAGCACAAGGCATGTTTTGTACAAAGACAATTTCACATGATGCCGTTAAATAAAACGAGTTCACAAGTTTTGGAAGTAGCACCACACAAAGTATCATTCACTGAGCAACACGGAAGCATTAGTCTTATCTGCACTAGGTTTGAGTGTTCCACTTCAGCGTGTGTTTAGCATAGATAGAATTATAATGCATCCCCACTGAGTCAGGATTTCAGCTACATGTACATTGCACGTGTACGTGTAATAGTTGAAACTCTAATTTCATTTCATTTCTTATATTTCAGGTAAGAATAAAACCAAACTACAAGCACATACATGTATACACTCAACAAACAGTAATTAAGACGGGACATGGCAACAACACCCTGAGGCATTGCCAAAAAGCAAATGTATTCACTATTAGGCCTCCATGGCCTAACGTTACACATGTATGTACACATGTACATGTATTTCCTGATGTCATGAGCACCGTGGTGAGCAGCACTGACAGTGACAGCAACATGACCATGCAAAGACAACCTCTTATGTTTTTAATAGCATGTAGGTTTGGAAAGTACATTCAACCTGATGCCTGGGGCCATTTTTTGCTTCAGGTACGAGCAAAACAACCTAAAATTAAACTCATGAGCACAGAAAATACACACATAGACAAGACTCTTATTCTGAGAATTAACTTGAAAAAATTTTGCTACATCGATGTTTTTTGATACGTGAGGTCACGTACATGTACACGTATGATCCCCGTGGGATGAATAGACTAGTTGCCACACTTCATCACACATTCTTTTGCATGGGTGCGACGAGGCGGGAACCAGCACTTTGCGCACGTGTTTTTACCACAGCGAGAGCAAAACACAAAGAGAACTCGTGAAATTAACAGAGGTTGCTTTTCGCACGTTGCAAATACAACCATGGTAACTGGGAAAACATGTAAACAAAAGCATTATAATGAGAAAAAGGTTGCTCTGTGGTGTTTGTGAAGACAGAAAAGAAACATGATTTATTTATTTGTCGTTCTTACATTTTTAAAATTTGTTTTCTCTAAGTTGCCTATAAAAATTTTAGGGCTTCGCCGAAAAATTAGGGTCAGGAAATTCTGAGGCATTGTTTTGGCCTTTGCAAGTTGGACTCTCTGACCGTTATTTGGTTACTCAAATGTCAATGTTTTTATTGTTGCATTTAAGTCTATACTTCTGTTACTAAAGAACAGTATGAACGGTAATCGGTGGGGCAAAGTGGTTAGGGGTGAAGTGGCATGGGGCGAAGTGGAAATGGGGCGAAGTGACCAACACCCTTGCTATATAGCTGTTTCACTGATGACTGTTAAATGGTAGTAGTAGTACTTCCAGAACTGAAAGTAATTGGTCAAAATAAAAATAGCTCACCAGCAGCACCAGCGTCGGTTGATGATGCAGTTTTCTTCGATTCCCAAGCTATTTCTTCCTTGACCAACTGAAACACCTCATTCTCAAAAGTGTCGGGCACAAGGCCTGCCTCATCGCTGGAACTTCTGTCTCGTCTGTCACGCTTGTGTTTCTTCTTCCTCTCGTGTCGGTCCCGTTTGTCAGCATCCCCTCCTCGTTCGTCCCTAGGTGACCGCGATCGAGACCGCCGGTGGCGGTGCTTGTGCCGCTTTTTCTCGCGGTGGTCCCGGCTACTCTCTTTGCTACGCTCGTCGCGATCCCTGTCCTTGTCTTTGTCGCGTTTGTGCTTGTGTCGTTTCTCATCCTTTTCGCGGTCTTTATGTTTCTTAGACGAACCCATCCGGGCCAGATATAAACTTGGTCAAAATTTCCAGATGAAACTTAACTTAAACCACTGGTTCGGACATCACACGTGTTAAAAGAACAGAGGAAATCTGTAGTAAAAACTCGGTTTAAATGTGTGCATTCGTCATTTTTACTTCACACGTACAGGCTACGTTTGTCGTACGGACGGGTGCCGTCGTTTGCAGTGCGCCCTCATTATAACAACTTACGGTTTTAGTGAGACTGCCCTCTTGCGGCATAATATTACAAGTACGAGTTCTTCAGGTGCAGTTCAATTCTAAATTCTACAAAATTCTTGCATGGGCGTTTTGCTTAATATTAACAATGATATAATTTAAATTAAATAGGAAGAATATTCTCCTTTGCAGTGGATATGAACGTAAATACCAGCCCCCTACATACAGGCCTGACGAAGGGCCCCGTTTTTGGAAGGAAGAGTCCTGAGGAAAGGCCCTGTTTTATGAAGGAAGAGTCCCGAGTGTTTTCCCCGTTTCTTTCTTTGCCTTCGAGTTTTTGAAGAGGCATGAATTCCTGATAAAATGAATACCTGGCAGGCAAGTAATAGAGAGAATAGTGGGTAAGAGTGGAAGATTACCAAAAATACGGGCTGAGTATTGTCGTTTTAAGATTAACCAGAAATTATTTTTGATTTTATAAAAGTGAAGAATGTTTCTATTACTGATGTTCTGATCAAAATGGTCCAGACCTCTGGACTGCGGAGTGTTTCATACATTCGCGGCAACTGTTTGCACTTCTGGGCCGTCTTGGTATCCAATGCCTCGGTAGAACGCCGCGTTGCCTACGCTCAGCATAGTCAAATGAATGGCCTGAGTCCCGAAGCCCTTTGACACGTAGTCTTCGAGCCATTCATGGAGTTTCCGGCCAAGCCCTTTTTTTCCGTCTACCCTTTGTGATAACCACTGAGAGGTGAAACATTTTGAAAGGGTCGGTGAGATGATGAATGCTTTAAAGACGCCAGTTCATTAACGGAAGCAAGAAGGGGTTTCTTAATAGGTCTTGATGAGGTTTCGTCAGGAAGACTGGGAGATGAACAATCTGACCTTGGAAAAATCCTTTATGTATTAAACTTCGCACTTTTGTAGTAACCCCTTGCATTAGCCGCTATGCCTCAAAAAGAAAATTTATTTTTACCTGACTCAAGGTGTATGTGATCCTCGTTTTCTGGGTGCACCTTTACAATTCGCGTGACCCAAAATGTCAGTCTATGCGCTCTCCTGTAACTCTGTCAATATCAGCAAGTAAGGCAGACCCTTACACTTTGACGTTTTGACGACCCGTAGTCTGTTTAGTGTAAAAACAGAAGAAAGCGTTTCCAGCACGAAAGTCCTGTAGTGCCATCAAGTATACATTTTTCCGAAGTCCATTTAATTTTTTTTCAAGGTTCGTTTTTACGAGATGCAGTTTTCTAAGGTTTGTTTGTTCACCAAATGTACTCTCCAGGTCATTCTTATTAGATCTGTATTTAGAAAATTCTTTCTTTTTTGGGAAACAAATAGTTTTACGAAATATATTTTTCTCAAGTTCCTTTTTATTAGATATATTTTTTGAAGTGCGTTTTACAAAATTCCAGTCGTCTGATACAACGCTTTAGAAACTTCATCTTAATGGATGAAAGGAAACAAGGGCGTTTTTTGGCGATACATCCTCGTGTTTTTACAAAGAGGATGGGTGGGCCTTCAGATCATATCCCCAAGTAACGAGCATAAATAGAGATTATGTTACTCCATTTCATCAAACGAAAAGATAAAGGGTAAACAATACTGCATGCAAGGGTTGAACATAGATTGCACCGACTAGGAACTGCTCCAGTTAACTGAGACTCATGGCCAAGTGCACGGGAATAATAATCATTGAAGCGCTGCTAGACGGGCTGACCTCAATTTTGTATTTTGTTACAACCTTCGACAATGCCTTCATCAAAGTCCGTCATCCAAAAGAAAAAAGAAAAAAGTGTGTCTTAAATTTTATTAGAAAAGGCAGACATCTGGATGTCTTCGTGTGTTGTGGCGAGTGAGTATAAGGCAGTGCGAGTTCTGTATCCTTCTATCTTCGTGCAACACTAGTGCAAAGTTTTGGTTCAAGCTTCTCTCCTTTAAAGAAGGGCTCATCAGTCCTGTAAACAAGAGTGAATCAAGTTCCAGAGAAAGCACTGAAACTTTCATATACCTGGCCCAGGAAATCCGCCAGGGGCCCAGTCCCATCCGCTCCCCCGGTTGCACTGCTATTTTGCCCACAGTTACCTAAGCAACTGAAAAGCCGACATTCGACACTTTCGAATTTTATACCAGTCGGCCTCAAATCCAGTATTGTCCAAGTGGTAGGAAATGTTTGCGGCAACACCATGGAGCCTGTTGTCTTTGAGAAATAAGCTTCTACGGTGGTACCACACATGTGCCATTCTTTGTTCACGCCCACTATAATTTATGCAAACCTACTAAGTGCATATTCTAGGACGAATAGTTTGTGTTAATTTTAAACTCTGAAAAATTGTTTATATTGCAATATCGCACATTATTAAAAATTAAACCAACAAAAAACACTTTCTTTATTCTTACACTACTGAGAAACCATGCCCCCAAATAAGCTGTAACTTGCAGTATCATAGCTCAATGGTGCGTTTCATAATTCATATACATGTGTCACTGAGTGTTCGCCTATGGCGAGGCCACTTCAAGTTTGACATTCCAAAGGTGGTACCACTATAAAAAGATGTTATCAGAAATGAGCATAATAAAATCATGGTTACCCGCAGAAAAAAATCAAACGCATCAGAAACGTTTTAAAAAAATAGCGCCCAGTAGTAGTGTATAATCCGTCATTTTCCAGTACTATGAAAATTTCATCTCCTCGCTGACGCAGTGCATATGGAAACGTGGGTCTCATCTGCTCAAACACAGCACATACATATACATAGGCTAAATTGGCAAAACTTTGTGAAAAAGTACATTTTACTGAAAGCCTTGCATAGTATTGAGATCGGCGCAAACGGATTTTGATTTAAAACCTATTCACTGAAACCACTAAAACAAAACCACACAAAATGTAAATGCCATTTTGTCGGAAAATCGGTTTTTATAAAGGAAAAACTCGACCAGTTTGTATGGAGAGACAGCGAAAACGGCCAATTTCGTGTTGTCCCTCTGTCTTTCTCAATCCGCCTCTTGGCCCAGCACCCTTGGCGGAAACGGTTTAAGGATGGTCGGGGTATAAGCTTTCCACTGATATAATACTTGACATGATTGGTTATTTACTTTAATCGGAAAAGCGAATTGTATAAAAGTCTCGACCAACAGCACTGAGCGTCTGAAATGACCTGGCATTCGAGTGTTGAGGAAATGTCGCGGATGTTACACTCATTAAAGATTCCAACTCAGCCTTTTCGTTGCACAGTTCATTCGTTTGTACCCATTTTAATATAACATCTGATTTATAGTACACCATTGTAACACGTTAATTTTAGGACAAATTTAAAGTGTAGATTGTCGGTTTTGCCAATTGTACGGGCTCTACTTCGAGAATACATCGTTTTTGTAGATGGTACATGTACATTGTAAGTGCTTGGAAGCTTAGCCTGCATGTATTCCCCCGTCTGGTCGGCTATATTTTGCACCAACGCTCTTACCGCCAATGGGGGAGTACATCAGACTGGGGGAAGAGTCTTAGCAGTCTCCCCTCCCTTACCCGTTGCGAGATAGATCTACACATAGACTTGGCCAACATGAAAGCCGGACCCCAAATGGAGTCGACTCGATTTTCAAAACCTGCAATACGGGGCGTGCACTTCAATGCCGAGAGGTATCTCAGTGCAGATTCTATGTTCACCCGTTCAGATGAAACCTTTTTTTACTGCAAGGAAACATACTTAGCCAGTATGAAAAGTTTTCAAGAAAACTTAGTGTAGCGATAAAACTACTTGATTCAAAACCTGCCTGTGCTTACTGTGACTGTCCAGATGGGGAGGGGGTGTGCAACCATATGCATGCATTACTTTTGGAGTTGGCAAATTACCATCTTCATGGTGTAAAAACTGTGCCAGAACAGGTTGCATGCACCTCACGACTAAGTCAGTGGGTAGTCCCTCGATGCAGAGGAACATCTGATATGCAGCCTGTGATGAATGTAACATTGAAACGGCTAAACGTTGACGAGATAACCACAGGTGGTGGAATTGAATCAACTTTGTATGATGCAAGAATGCCTTCTTTTAGGACAATGAAAAGTTGTAAACATTCAACAGACACTGCGTGAAACCTCTCCTGGACTACCATTTTTTAAAATCTTGTTTAGAAAGAAGATGAAACCATATTATACAAAAACACCAGATTTAGTCCTGCGCCACTTGGATCACTAGTGAGCTATCAGCACTCCATCTTTGAATCCTATTTTCAAGTCTATAGCAATTTTCCAGAGGCATTGAGCTGCTCATTAAATACCCACAAAGATTTGAGTGCTTATTCATCGTTTCCATTGGCAACTGTGCCTATATACTCAGTTAATTATGTCCCTGCCTCGCAACTTGAACCAAACTTCTGGTCACATAATCAACAGATCGATGAAACCCATAAAAATGATATACAGGAGCAAAATTCATGTGTTAAGTGGTTGAAGTACCGACAGTGAAGATTTACTGCTTCTAAGTTCCATTCTATTTTAATTCGAAATAAATTAGACTGTGAATTTGCCAAAGGTTTTTTACCTGGTGAGGAGAAGCCTATGTCGGATTTTCTGAGAAAAAAATTTAAACATGATAATGATTTTGAGCCAGTTGCTTCCAACAAGTATTCACAGTACATGTACATGAATGGGTCCGGGCATGCTGTGCGACTTGAGGAGTGTGGTCTCGTGATCAACCCAAGGGCTTGTTGGTTAGGTGCCTCACCAGACCACAAGGTGGTTGATTATTTTGCAGAGAGTCCTTTCAGAATTCTTGACATAAAATGTTCTGAAAATATAAAGACGAAGACCCACTAACAGCATGTCATGATCCTGTTCTTAAGAAAGATCATCCATACCACACTCCAGTGCAGGGTCAGCTGGCTCTAACAAGAGCAGAATGGTGAGATTTTATTGTACATGTATATACACACCGAGGTTTGATAATTCAAAGAATACCTTTTGACTTGCCATTTTGGAACATGCTCTACAAAA